GTAGTCGGCGCGATTTTCATCGGCAGTTGCTCCACCAGACGTGCGCCGCCGACGTCGCTGGTCCCTTCAACCGGAGCAAACTCCAAAACAATGCCCTAAAGAGGGACTACGACGCAAAAGCGCCGCCATCCCTTGATCCCAAGGAGATCTAGGGTTTCCCCCGTAGTTGCCCGCGCTGTCAAGGGCCAGACAAGGGTAGAATCCCGCGGATCTGCCCAGCTGCCGACGAGTCGCACCCACCATCGTGCCGACGGCCGACCAGCGATCAATCCGGCCGCGCCGCCGCGAACTGATCCGTTCACGCCACCGCCGTCCCTGGCGGCCGCAACGCACCAGATCGCAAGGCATCCTGCCGCGGGGAATCGACGTCGCCGAGGCGCCGCCACCACCCGCCGTGGCGACCGGCCCGCCGCCACGCTCCGGCCCAGCGGCGCCGGCCCGCGCCAGCCCCACACGAGCGAGAGGGCCCGAGTCCCCGCCGCCGCCGGCGACGGCTAGGCTTAGCCTGGCCGCGTCCTTGGGCGGCGACGAGGGAGGAGGAGGAGGAGTGGGGGAGGTTCGGCGGCGATGGAATCTGGGGCCTTCCGGTCGCCCACGCGGGGGGCGGCGAGGGAGGGAGACGTACGGGATGGGATCTGGTGGCGTACAACTACCACTCAGTGTTTCGACTGGACCAATGTGGATGAGCCGGGATGTCATATGTCTTTTTTTTAGTGTTTCACTACCGTGTAAATTATCGGAACAAAAATAACATTTGATGTGCCCTAGGTAAAAGAAAAAGCAGACATAAGAACATGAATGCGCCGGGATGCATATGAATTTTTTGAGTGATTCACTATCGTGTAAATTATCAAAAAAGAAAAAACATTTGGTGTGCTCAAGGAAAAAGAAAAAGCATACATAAGAAAAAAAATGGTACTCACAGAAGGCAATTTTTGAAGCATTTTGGGGGTGCATGTTTTTTTTTTTGAAACTAGGCAAAAGATTTGCCATTTTCATTGATTAAGAGAGAAGTTTTAGAGGTTAAGGCCAAAGGCCAAATTACAACAATCAATCTCGCGGCATTATGTTATTCAAGTGCCTTGCTCCCGCAATGCTCCAAAGTAAGGTCTCCTCTTTAATCCTAGCAACGACGACTCCCACCGGAACGACATTATTACGAAAGATTCGTGCATTCCTCTCTTTCCATACCTCCCAAGAGATTAGCAACATCAAGGAAGCAAGCAGCCTTCGCGATTGGGTCTTCTTGTTAGCATTGTGGCTCCACCACTCTTTAACGGAAGTCGCGTCACTCCAATCGGAAGGATGCACATCATGGAGACCAAGCCAATCTTTGATCATACGCCAAACTCTGAAAGTGTATCGGCATTGGAATAGAAGGTGGGCCGCCGACTCCTGAACTTGCTTGCATAGTGGACAAAGGTTATAGTTTGGCCACCCACGATGCTGAAGCCTATCTGCCGTCCAAATTCTATTGTTGATTGCCAGCCATGCGAAGAACTTGCATTTAGGAGGCGCCCAAATCTTCCAAATGGTCGAAATCATGGCCGTGTCAGTATGGCCATAGAACTGCGCTTTATAGGCCGACGCCGCCGAGTAGTGGCCGTTAGTAGTGAACTTCCAAGTGATAGTGTCGGGCGTGTTGACGTCAAGGTGGACATGTGAGACCCTCTCCCAAAGGGAGACAAACTCAGAGAGGTGTTCATCAGGGATTCCCTGAAGAATGTCCACCTGGGAAGTCCAGAAGTTATCGTCTAGAGCCAATCGAACCGAGCAATTCTTCTTCTTCGACAAGTCATAGATTTTGGGAGCTATGTCCTTGGGCCCAATCCCATCAAGCCAAGGAGACTCCCAAAACTTGGCACACGTGCCATCCCCAACTTGGACCTTGGTAGCCCCGACAAAGATATCTCGATCATTGTCATCACTAGGGGTTCCCAAGCCAACCCACGGCTTGTCTGGGTGAAGCCACTCGTCCCACAGCCACCGAAGGCGAAGGCAGTGGCAAATTTGTCAAGGTTTAGGATTCCAAGACCTCCATGCAGCTTGGACTTGCACACTTGCTCCCAATTTATCTTGCATTTTCCACCAGTGACCTTATCACAACCTGCCCAAAGGAAAGCACGTTCGAGGGCATCAATTTTCTTCTTGACCTCCACTGGTAAATCTAACGCCGTCATGTAGTAGATAGCAATTGCTGTGAGGACCGACTTTACCAAGACAACGCGACCCGCTGAGGCAACATGCCTCCCCACCCAAGGAGTGAGTTGGCCCGCAACCTTGTCCTCGAGGGGCTGGTAGTGAATTCTCTTCAGTCTCTTGACAGACAAAGGCAACCCAAGGTATTTCATCGGAAAGGAGCATCGCATGGCCGGGAAGGATTGGAGGATATCCGGGAGATCCACATTTTCACAACGGATTGGGGCGACAAAGCTTTTGGAGCAGTTTGTGACCAGACCGGTGACTTCCCCAAAGTGCTTGAGAGTGTTGGCGAAAAACTGGACGCCCTCCTTAATAGGTGCAAGAAAAACAGCGGCGTCATCTGCGTAAAGCGAAGCACGGATAGGCATAGCATTTCCACCTAGCGGATGAAGATTTCCTTGAGTTGTGCTCTTCGTAAGGATATGGTGCAGTGGGTCGATGGCAAGCACAAATAACAAGGGTGATAGAGGGTCGCCCTGCCTTAACCCACGACCAAGCTTGATGGGGTCACCGGGCACACCATTGAGAAGAACACGCGACGAAGCCGACGTCAACAGTGTGGAAACCCAACCTCTGAAGCGGGGCGGGAAACCAAGGTGTCGAAGCAGGTCGAGGAGGAAGTCCCACCGCACCGAGTCGAAGGCTTTTTTGATGTCAAGTTTGAAGAGCAATGCCGGTGTTTTCCTACGGTGAAAGCGTCTCGCGAGGTTGCACACATACATGAAGTTGTCGTGGATGCATCTTCTTTTAATGAACGCACTTTGGGCGTGCGAGACAAGATCATTCATGTGTGGAGCAAACCGGTTGGACATCATCTTGGCAATTAACTTAGCGATGGCATGGATAAGACTGATGGGTCGAAGTCGACGATGTCCTCGGCACCCTCCTTCATCGGAATGAGAGCAATGTCGGCAGAGTTCAACCAATGAAAGTGAGCAGCATGGAGATCAGAGAAAAGGTTGATGGCAAGCATGATGTCTGGCTTGATGGTGTCCCAACATGTTTCTTTATCCATATAAGTATCACGAATGTCGTCTGTTCACAAAAAAGTATACATAGGGAGCACTCGATAATACTTGAATGACAAACTCAGTGCTAGAAACTACCAACCAAGACATGATCCGAGGAATGATTATATGAGGCATGCCTTCCCTTTGTGTAGTGCAATGCAAAGAGTCCGCGTAGAATTGAGGCCTTTTGGCACAAGTCGAAAATACTTCACCATCGTGCCAGGTCTATTCTTCACACTCACCAATGTTTATCTCCAAAAAAATGAATTTCTCTTGCAAATTTCTAGAATTTACTGTACTAGTTCATGAATTTGAAAATAATATTCAAGAATCTAAAAAATGTTTGTTGTAGTTTTAAACACAGATTTAGAATAAAGATTGTCAATTTTAAAAAAAGTTTCAAATTTATAAAATTGTTTATGGATTTTTAAAATGTTCATGAATTTATAAAATAAGCTTGAATTAAGAAACATGAATTTTTAAAATTGACCACGGATTTAAAAGATGTCCATGTAATATAAAATGAATAATAGAAGAAGGATAATTAAATGCCAAAAAAGAATAAAAACAGTAAAAAACAACACATTTTCTTTTACAAAAGGAATGAACAAAAAAAGGGACAGAAAACCAGTGCAAAAGCTAGCACAACGGACGAGAAAAACATCACAAAAAAACTAGTGAACGGAAAAAAAGCAACTGAAATGTGCTGGCCCAAGTTGTTCACTGGGTCCGTGTTTTATACGCACTGTTCCACGCAACGAGCATGGAATAGGAAATTCCATTGACTAGTCACAACTTAGAAGGTATGTACCTACTATCTAGCATGGGTTTTTTTTAGAGAAATTTTCAATCTATTCATCAATCTTGGCAGTACAGAGAACACTAGAGGTAATAAAAATTACAACCAGGTCTATGGACCATCTAGCAAAGACTAGAATCAT